AGGTATGTAGATTTTGTGGTAGAGGAAGATGCACCATTAGAAGTAACAGTTGCATTTGGCACTACCCTTCTTATTCCTGAGTTTTGTTGGGATAAGATGGGAATTCAACTTCCAATAGGTGTCTCTAGTGTGCTTTGGCTTCTTACAATAATCACAAACCATCTCCCTCTTGTCTTCCCTCTTTATTTCTTTCTCCTTATTACCAATAAGCTTAGATTTCACTGCTGTGAAGGCTGATTCCACGAATGGGATCTGTAACATAACCTTCCTTCTACTCTCTTCACTATGTACTAGTGAATAGGCCTGAGACAAAGTAACATTGTCCCTAGTAAGAAACTGCTGCCTCACAATGTCATATTTTGAATTCAGTCCAGCGAGGAATTTAAACACTCTATTTGTTTCAACAAGCTTCCTAGGCGGGTGCCTAGGCGATGGAATCTAAAAGCATAAAATTTAAAGATCCCTGCTTCTCCTAAGCTACTTTATTAGTTTTTTATACTAACCATCATACCTGTATACTAATAAAACCATTCAAATGAGTAATTAACTATAAATTTCATATAAAACATGCCATCATAAATACATCATTTACATAATATATTAATTTCAATGTTTAATAACAAGAAATACAGCAAGAAAAAGAGAAAAAAATGGGGCTTTGTTTCGTTCCCAAAAGAAAATTCTTTAAAAAATAAGAAAATAAAATGCATGAATAAGAGGACAACGTGGACTGTGTTTAGGGGCAGGGGCCCTATTTCAGGCCACTGAAAAGGTTGAATGCAGCTCAAAAAAGGAAAAAAATAAGGGGATAGGATGGAGCCCCTGTTTCGTACCAAAATAAATAACTAGTGCAAAAATACAAGAAAATTTTTAGAACGTTGAGGCACAGCCCTGTTTCAAAAGAAGAAGGGGGTGGAGCCCCTGTTTTGTTTCCAACAATATTTCTTAAACAAATTTAAAAATATATATATATATAGGAGCAAAGGATGACTTAAAGAACTTACCTAGAGGTCCTAGACAACTTGGACCGAAAGAATGGAAACTCTTCTCAGTCATCTGTCTTCTCTGCCTCTTCTCTTAGTCTCGGTTCAAGACCCAAACCCAAAAAAACTTGTAACATACGCATACTTCTAATAAAAGAATAACTATTTTAATAAAAAAATGTAACATACAACAAGGTGTATGTTAATAACATAAAACCAACCAATAAAATGATATAAATATACATGGGAATTAAAAAAAAATATGAAACAAATATGTATGGGTAATATGAAAACCATATTGGCATTAGGCGAGGCGACCTCTAAAAGTCGCCTAGTCGCCTAGGCGTCACCTTGACAACTATGTGCCCAGTCTCCTCTAAGCTGTTGGTCTCAGAAAAAAGCTATTTTTTCTCAGAAAACCCTATGCACCAACACCTACTGAAGGCTTAACTCCTAAACCCTAATATGATCCAAGACAACCCTGACCCTTCCTGGTTTGTTGATGATCTCTAAGACTCCAGATCTTGGGCAGTACAAACTCCTCCCACAAACCTCCAAGAATCAGGTAAATCTGACTGAAAAATCCAGCCTAGTCTATCTTCATGTAGCCGGCTGGAACAAGACTACATGAAAACCCTAGTAGGCCTTACACCTAGATCTGATACCAAGAAGGCCGATGTTGATCACCTTCGGCTTGTACTCAGGTTAAGTTTTCTGCAAGAATACAAAGAAAGAAAGGGAAAAACAGAAGAGATAAGAGAAGAAGAGAAGATGAGAGAAGAATGGAAAGAAGGGAGTACTTGTCTCTAATCTGCCGCTTAGATTTGATATTTATAGGTTTCTATCACAAATTAAATTACAAAGATAACTATACCCCTACTGACTAAGACACTACTTAACAGAATATAATAGTAACTAATGTGGGCCTAACTAACAGGCCCATCACAAGGCCCAAACAGATAAAATAAAGAAAATAACTACTATACTGTTTCTCTAGATAAAATATTTTAGGGGCCCAAAAAAATTATCAAAAGCTAACTAAGACACTACTTAACAGAATATAACAGTAACTAATGTGGGCCTAACTAACAGGCCCATGACAAGGCCCAAACAGATAAAATAAAGAAATAACTACTATACCGTTTCTCTACATAAAGTATTTTAGGGGCCCAAAAAAATATCAAAAGCTAACTTTGTGCTTTTCAAATTTACTTTGTACTTTTTGAAAGTATAAAGCACGTGAAACAAACACTAAGTCGTTTTCATACTTAACACTTTTGAAGTGTAACCAGTGCGAAAAGTATGAAAGTACATTGAAAATGTCTTTCAAAACAGGCTGAATCTCTAGCCCTACTTCAAGGTCTAACGATGGCTGAGCAGATAGGAACAACAGACTTAGAAATTGAAGGAGACTCACTATTGGTCATCTCTTGGGTCAAAAACATCACATCAGTACCTTGGAAGCTCAAGTATATCTTCAGAGAAATTGACACACTTGCAAGGAAGTTCAACTCTCAGTTTGGTTGGGCCAAAAGGGATGCAAATGGGATGGCGGATACCCTAGCAAAACAAGGGGCAAATAGATCTTCATTGTATTGGGCAGAATTGTAACTGATTGCTGGAGATTGCAGTTTATTCCTCTGCAATCTTTATCTATTGTATCTTAATTTCTCTGTTATTAATGAAAGATTTTTGCTGATCAAAAAAAATGTCTTTACAAACAGAACCGAAGTGTAACCAGCATAATTGTCAAGGCAATAAGGCACTCAAGGAGGGCCACCTCGCTTAATTGCCAAGATATTTTTTACAAAGTGCTCTTGGATACTTTTATATTATTAACTTTTTGACATTATAATAATAATTAGACAGACATTATTAAACTAAATTATTCAGTTTGTCATTTAAAATTCTAGTTTCGTTTTATTATTTTCCTCATTTGTTAGGAAAATGGGGAACTAATAAGCAAGAAAGAACTTAAAATTTTATCCAATCAACACATATTGATTATTATTTTCTTTTTTTCTTTCATCCATTCGTTTCTTCTTTCCCTAGGACAAAAATAAAGGTTCAGCCCCTCTATTTTCTATTTTCTGCACCCCCGTCTAGCCTCACCTTGGCACCTTGAAAACTATGGTAACTAGATAACTAGACCATACTGTTTATAAACAAACTACTCCTTCAACACTTCCCCCAAGTCAAGCACTTATGTTAGTCATGCCCAGCTTGCCATGAACATTATTTAGTTTCACCATTGGAACTACATTAGTAACAAGGCACCCCCCCCCCAACTTTAGTAGGGGCATTTTTGTAAATCTCCATTTATTTCCAGCAACAATATAAGAAATTGGGGGGCTCATTACAAGCAGCACAATATACTCCTCACTCATTTTCCTTATTTATCCTGTTCTTCCCTATTTGCTATTCTCCTCTTTTAACACAAGATTCTTATTCTTTAAATAATCATTGCCGACTTATTCAATAGGATGGTATTAGAGGAAGAACAAAACTCTGATAATGATGGTGGTATGCATCATCATTCTTCTCAATATAAAATATTTTTATTAAAAATGAAGAAAAATAAGATCCTCCCTCCTCTTCTTCCTCCTCCCCCTCCTTCCACCTCATCCCCCTCCTCTTAAGGAGGTTAATTCCTCCTTGTTTTCAGGAGGCTTATGCCTCTTATGTTCTGAACTACAGCCTCATGCATCCAGATAGCGGAATGCCCTGCATCATGCCTCGGCATTTTAAAACATTGCTTCCTCCCACAGTTTAAATGTCCCAAATTTCCCTAATATTTACATAACATATTTCCATTTCCACGGGTAACAACACAATTTTACCAGAATCAACATACTCCCCAATGAACACTACCAACACTATATGGAATACAAGAGATATTGAGATAGTTTCCATGACATAAATATTCCCCAATGAACACTACCAGCACTATATAGAGTACAAGAGATAGTATTATAGCATAAGTTTGTGATAATATTGTAGATATGTGGAGTAACAATGTTATTGCCAACCTAACTTGCATGGTTACCACTTTGAGCTCAACCCACATTTGCTACGGCAGTGTCATAGCCCTGTGCTGAAACAAGTACATCAAAGCCTTTGATTTGCTGTCAATGGCCCCACTTTGAATTAGATGAAGTGACTTCTTGGCGGGGCCACAGCAGTAGATCAAGTCCATGATTTTCTGTTTTAGCCTTGTGCTACGACAATGTCATAGCCAATGTTTTAAAGCACCAAGGCGTGACGCGAGGCGTTCCACTACCTAGAGGCGTGAGGCGTAGTTCAGAATGCAAGAGGTGAAAACCTCCTTAAGAGGAGGGGGGTTAGGAGGAGGATGAAGAGGAAGGGGGGATCTCATTTTTTTCTTTATTTTTAATAAAAATCTTTTATATTAAGAATAAAGATGCATAACATTAGTTCAAAGGAGGGACGAAGGGGCAAGGGGCAAACCACTTTCTTTCCCCTTATCTTTTCTTCCCTTCCCTTTCCTTTCCGTTTTTCTTGTTTTTTCTTCTCTTTCTTTTTATTTCCCTTCCTTTTCTTTTCCTTTCCTTTTTTTTCTTTTTTCTTTTTTTTCTGACTTTTTATATCAGATGTGCATGAGGCGCATGAGGCGTACACCTCTAGCACGCCTCATGAAAAAAGCGCAAGAGGCGTACACCTCGGAGGTGTCAGCGCCTTTGGCATACGCCTTAGGGCGTTTTGGGAGCGCCCGCAAGAGGCGTACACCTCGGAGGTGTCAGCGCCTCTGGCATACGCCTTAGGGCGTTTTGGGAGAGCCTCGCCTCCAGGCGTACGCCTCCCACGCCTTTTAAAACACTGGTCAAGCATGATGTTAAATATTAGTTTTCTTTGTGTAAGAGCTTATTTTGTTGATCTATTACAACCATTTACATTTTCTGTGAGTTTAAATTTTGTTTTAACACATTCTATCATGAAGCTCTAAATCTAATTTTAAGAGAACAAAATTTTTTGAGGAAGCAGATCAGAAATACCTACCTCATGAAACTTCTCTGAAAAATGTGTGTATATCTAATGAGGGTTACGATTGAGCAGTCCTTGAAATGATAAGTAAAGATCCTTATTATCTGAACCAAATATCTCTTCTGCTTTCCTTAAGGTTTCCTGAAAAGAATAGAACATTGATTTCCTAGTGTGGCTAATCCAACAGTAGGAACTCAACTACGAAAAAAGATAATAACAAGCTTATGGAATCAAGAACTGGTTACCTCCCGAGATTGCTTTTGAGCATTTAGTTCCTTGATGTTCGCTAGGAATGCACTGAACTGTTCGTATGACAGACGATTCCTGAATGACAGAACCAGAAGAAACTTCTTACCAATCAAATTCAATGAGTGGATTAAAATCAAAGCTAGAAGTCTGGAACTAACCTGGCTTGTCGAAAGAATTCTTTTCCATCAATCCGTGGTGTCCTTGCTAAAATGCACACAAGACAAAAATTAGTTAACAGATGAAGTCATGAAACCAAATCCCACTAAATTCGATTTACACAGAAAACAAGCTACAATAAATAAGTGCATCATACGGGAAATTGGTGCAGCTTCTCAATAAGTGCAATCAGGCAAGTTGGGAGCATGGATGTATCAACAGCCCATAACGAGAAATTCACAATAACAAGGGAAATTGGTGCAGGCTTCAAGTGGATATGAAAATCAGCTAATGGTCTGGCTGATACCTTAGCCAAACAAGAAAGTTTGTTCTTGGCAGTTCTGTAAATCAAATTACTTGGGTTCAACACCTATTTTAGGGGTTGACAATTGTATCTTAATTTTGTAGTAATGAAGTTGCCATTTCCAATCAAAAAATAAATAAATAAGCGCATCATGAACAACAGTGGTACCTGATCTATATGCATACAACTTTTTTATCAGCAACGAAAAAATTATTAAAACTAATAAAAGGTTACAACAAGAAGCTGTTAAATCTGAACTCCCTTTATATCAAAAGAACCCCATTATCCCATTATAATTGAGCCCAATACAAGTGATTTCTATGCACTCCTTGCTTTAGTAATCCATCAACCAATCCATTAACAGACCTTACACATCTAATTTGAATGTCTGTAGCTCTTGACAACATCTTGAACCACCTGAGATCATTCATGTATTGTCAAATCACCCCTTCTCCTTTCTTCAGCCACCCAATTATTATTTTTGAATCCCCTTCCACAATCAATCTTGCGATTCCCATTTCTCTGGATTTTTGTACCTCAAAACAGCAGTCAGTAACTCTGCCCTAACTGAATCACTTTGTCAAATTGGCCCCAAAAACAATATACATATATTTGCCCCAGTGCATACAGCTTTTTAAGCCATGGCTCCTGTTAGTGGTATTAGTGAAGGGGTATTTCGGTCTTTGTACTTGTTGAGAATGTTGATGTGTACTGTTATGTTAGTTYRMGTGCCTCTTACTTAAAGAAGGGCACTTAAGTCTTTTCCAATAAGTTAATAATATAATAACAGGTCTGGCCGAATCAAGGGATAACTTTTTTCTCTAATTC